TTTCCACACAACCAGAACTTATTTTTCAATTATTGATAATCATATGTCTTGATATTTCCAATAACCAGATATCATTTTTTTGCTTTGTCCTGATTTTTCTAATATATAATATCCAGATCTTATTTTTAATCAGATCAGATGTAATTTATACATTTTCTTGATAATTTTGAGTACAGATATTCACCTTTATTTTTTGCTTATTCTGATGTTCAGATATCAATTTGCATCCTTTCTGCCTTGTTTTCTATCAACCAGATCAATTAACCAATTTTCTAGATTTTCCACAATTTTTACTTGATATCATTTTTCAATTCGTCCAGATTTTCTGATAACCAAGGTACATTTTCTAAATATTTCTATTTTTTTTGTTTTTTTTTTATTTATATATATACATTATTTTCATATCTCAGTCAGACAGAGGTGCCTGGTATGAGAGATTATGAAAAACAGTTTTCATATTTTTTTCTGAATCTATTTTATTTTTTTTTCAGCTTTGAAAAATGGAAGCCTGAACAATATCTTAGGACCAACTGACAGCCTGGGAAGAAAATGCGGAGTCGACTCCGACGTCTGGACAAACCCTATCTTTTATTTTTCGATCTCATGAAATGTGCCAAACCAGGAGTTGTCATCAACGGTGTCCAACACCACAGGTAAGGGAGGTAAGGGAAATTTAGATATTTAGCCAATTGGTAAGATGTCTGACACAGGCTGGGCAAAGACTTATACATATATTTCTTAGATATTTTATTACTTACTAGATGACTCGACAGATGTTGTCCTGTAACCACATCTACCTTTTTTCAATATCTTATAAAAAATTACTGTTCAGTTAAAAATAATAATTATTGTTTTTCGAATTACTATTTACACCAATATATGAGTGAGTTAAATGTAGAACTGCTTCAAATAAAATGATGACTCTCAATTCCCACAGTTAACACTTTAATTATCCCTTTAACAAATATTAAAATATGTTCAATAAAATTGTATATTAAAAATTATACACTGCAATTTATATATTATATTTTTTCTAACTATATTTCTATAATTCAAAAAATCCTAAAAAAATCCCATAACAAACTTCAGAAAGATTTATCAAAATCCGAATAATCGTTTAGGAGGATTATCCTTTGATTCTGACGCTTTAGTTAGAAAATGCTTGTATGTGAAAAAGAAAAGGGCTGTTTTTAGGGTTTTCCCGGCAATTATTCGATTTTTTCTCGCCGTAAGAACCATTCTTGGACTTCAAAGAACATTTAAAAAAAAAAAATGGCCAAATCGGTCCAGACGTTGTTGAGTTATGCGCTTACCAACACATTTGCGATCCATTTTTATATATAAGATTCATTAACTTCCGTAGGGCAAGTTATAGTAATCGCAAAAAAATCGAAAATGAAAATTTTATATATCTTTACGCTTCAGAGGTTTCTGAATATTTTGGCATACCTTAGAAAAAATGGATGTATGTGTGTGTGTTTGTGTGCGGATACAAATTTTCGTCGACGATTTCGGGAACACGGATCAACCGATTTGAATAATTCAAAAAACATTCGATTCGTATTGATAAGGAGACGTGCTGATTAGTTTTTGTCGAAGGCAGGTCTAGCCGTTCCGAAGATACGGGGCAAAAAGTGCCGAAACGGTAACTCAGTTTTTAAGAGAACGGAGCGTCCGATTTGCATAATTCAAAAAACATTTTACTTGTATTGACATGATGAAGAATTGATCAAATTCATGAAGGCAGGTCTAGCGGTTTCGGAGATCTAATGAAAAAAGTAAAAAAAATGCCATTTGGCGGTCAAAAATGATCATTAGACATATGCACATCAAATTATCAGATACTTTATAGAGATTTTTACAATAAGTATGAATTTTGTTTACATTCCTATGGGTTCCGTACCAATGTTTATCCGTTAGACGGCGACGCGGCGCTTACGCAGTACGATTGCTTTGAAAAAAAGTTCAGAATTTCCAAACTATGCCAAAATAAAGAAAACTTTTTTTTCAAACAATTTTCTAAATTTCAAAAATCAAAAATCTAATTTTTTCGAAGTAAATTTTTTTCAAAATGTTAATAGCTTTTAAAAAAGTAATAATTTTTGGTGCGGGAAGTTCCAGCAATTTGCCTTAAGGCACGATGCCTGAATTGCCTTAAGACAGAATTTCACTTACAGCTAGTTTGCAAATGCGTTTAGACTGTGACTATACGGGAGCACATTTTCAACTTTGTGTAACCATTTAGGCAACTATTTTTTTTTAATTTAATTTGTAATGGAATGACAATTGTTAATGTTCTGGAGATAAATCAATTGATTTATGATTTACATTTGATTTGCTCAGATATAATAAGATAGCTAAGAAAAAATAATGAAAGTTACAGTATTCGTAATGATATATTTGAAAACGTTTAAAATTTCTCGAATATTTCGTTACGGTACGGGAAGTTCCAGCAATTTGCCTTAAGGCACGATGCCATACACCACTAGTTTTTAAATATAATATATATTTAAGGTTGTCAAATATCTCCCTTCCGCCTTTTTGTATTATAAACCAAGAGCAAAAAAGCGGAAGGGAGATATTTGACAATCTAATATATAGCCCACAGATTTTTTCAAGAGGACTCAAAAATACAATCATTTACTGTTTGTAAATTGTTAGCCATAACTGTCTTTCTCGTTTCCAGATTTGTGCCAGGAATGCCCATCAGACAATTTCGCCTTCGACACTCATGTGAGTAGGACAACTAATGTGAATGAAATCAGACAAAGATTATTTTGTAAACCAGAAATTGATAAAAGAAGCCAAATTGTTGACTTCGACTCTGCCAGAAGACTTGTGCAGAACGAGCAATGTGCTGCCTGGCATTTGAAGAGCCAACCTGGTAAGTGGAAATATATTTGACCAAAATTTTTAAAATATTTTTGTAAACTTCACGTTTCGGTGGGCTTTTCCATCATCTTCAATTTTAAAAATCGAAAATAATTTTTTTTACATATTCTACGTTTCAAAGGTTTCTGAACAATTTGGCATACCTTAAAAGAAGTGTGAGCAAGGTCCACGTGCGATTGAAGTAAAACTGTTTTGCTATCGTATGAGATCATTGGCACTCGACTCGAGCGTAATGCTCTTATCGGTTAGATAGAATTAGATTCTAATCGGTTGAACCCGAAATCGTCGACAAAAATCTGTATCCAAACACAGGCACACACACATACACACGCCATTTTTTAAAGTAAAACTTATGAATAGGAATCAAATTGAATTGAATCATTCTAATGATTAGAATGATTCAATTCAAATTTGATTCCTATTCATAAGTTTTACTTTAAAAAATGTGTATGTGTGGTGTGTCTGTGTTCGGATACAGATTTTTGTCGACGATTTCGGGTTCACGATTAGAATCTAATTCCATTCTAATCATTAGAATGATTCAATTCAAATTTGATTCCTATTCATAAGGAGACGTGCCGATTAGTTTTTGGCAAAGGCAGGCCCAGCCGTTTCGGAGATACGGAGTAAAAAGTGACAAAATTGGTGTTTCAATGTTTAAGAGAACGGAGCGTCCTATTTGAATGAAACAAAAAAAATATTATTTGTATTGACGGAATGAACATCTATATTGCTGTCTATGACTAGATATAAAATACGTAACCCTATTGCTGCCAAAGGGGTATTATTATGATATTATTATAAAGCTCGTAGAGGCCTTTCATTTGATACCCCACATGCCTATATTTGAAGTAAAACTTCTTAGCTCACATTTGACCTCGAGTTGTAAAACTTCTTAGCTCTCATTTGAGCCCGAGTTTTGCAACCCATTGGTCTGCTTTTTATTATCTTTTCTATCTTTTGAACTATTTGTCGTAGAGGAGTGAAATATTCGGCAAATTTGTACAGAATTAAATATTCTTTAATACTGGGTAAGTATCTATGAATTGAATAATCTATAATACTGTGTATTATACGGCAACTCGGTTTACAAGACTAGATAAAAAATACAGAACCCTATTGCTGTCAAAGGTTTATTATTATGATATTATTATATATCTCGTCGAGACCTTTCATTTGATACCCCACATGCCTATATTTGAAGTAAAACTTCTTAGCTCACATTTGACCTCTAGTTCTGCAACCCTTCGGTCTACTTTTTATTATCTTTTGTATCTTCTGAACTATTTGTCGTACAGAAGTAAAATATTCGGCAAATTTGTACAAAATTAAATAATCTATAATACTGTGTATGTAACTGCTCTATATCAACTCGGTTTACAAGACTAGATATAAAATACAGAACCCTATTGGTGTCTAAGGTCTATTATCATGATATTATTATAAAGTTCGTAGAGACCTTTCATTTGATACCCCACATGCCTTTATTTGAAGTAAAACTTCTTAGCTCACATTTGACTTCGAGTTCTGCAACCCACTGGTCTACTTTGATTATCTTTTCTATCTTTTGAACTATTCGTCGTAGAGGAGTGAAATATTCGGCAAATTTGTACAAAATTAAATAATCTATAATACTGTGTATGTATCTATGCTCTATGGCAACTCGGTTTACAAGACTGTATATAAAATACAGAACCCTATTGCTGTCAAAGGTTTATTATTATGATATTATTATAAAGCTCGTAGAGACCTTTCATTTGATACCCCACATGCCTATATTTGAAGTAAAACTTCTTAGCTCACATTTGACCTCTAGTTCTGCAACCCTTCGGTCTACTTTTTATTATCTTTTGTATCTTCTGAACTATTTGTCGTACAGAAGTAAAATATTCGGCAAATTTGTACAAAATTAAATAATCTATAATACTGTGTATGTAACTGCTCTATATCAACTCGGTTTACAAGACTAGATATAAAATACAGAACCCTATTGGTGTCTAAGGTCTATTATCATGATATTATTATAAAGTTCGTAGAGACCTTTCATTTGATACCCCACATGCCTTTATTTGAAGTAAAACTTCTTAGCTCACATTTGACTTCGAGTTCTGCAACCCACTGGTCTACTTTTGATTATCTTTTCTATCTTTTGAACTATTCGTCGTAGAGGAGTGAAATATTCTGCAAATTTGTACAAAATTAAATAATCTATAATACTGTGGTTGTATCTATGCTCTATGGCAACTCGGTTTACAAGACTGTATATAAAATACAGAACCCTATTGCTGTCAAAGGTTTATTATTATGATATTATTATAAATCTCGTCGAGACCTTTCATTTGATACCCCACATGCCTATATTTGAAGTAAAACTTCTTAGCTCACATTTGACCTCTAGTTCTGCAACCCTTCGGTCTACTTTTTATTATCTTTTGTATCTTCTGAACTATTTGTCGTACAGAAGTAAAATTCGGCAAATTTGTACAAAATTAAATAATCTATAATACTGTGTATGTAACTGCTCTATATCAACTCGGTTTACAAGACTAGATATAAAATACAGAACCCTATTGGTGTCTAAGGTCTATTATCATGATATTATTATAAAGTTCGTAGAGACCTTTCATTTGATACCCCACATGCCTTTATTTGAAGTAAAACTTCTTAGCTCACATTTGACTTCGAGTTCTGCAACCCACTGGTCTACTTTTGATTATCTTTTCTATCTTTTGAACTATTCGTCGTAGAGGAGTGAAATATTCTGCAAATTTGTACAAAATTAAATAATCTATAATACTGTGTATATAACTATGCTCTATGGCAACTCGGTTTACAAGACTAAATATAAAATACAGAACCCTATTGCTGTCACAGGTTTTTTATTATGGTATTATTATAAAGCCCGTCGAGACCTTTCATTTGATACCCCACATGCCTATATTTGAAGTAAAACTTCATAGCTCACATTTGACCTCGAGTTCTGCAACCCATTGGTCTACTTTTTATCTTTTCTATCTTTTGAACTATGTTGTGTATGTGTGATCGGATACAAATTTTCGTCGACAAATTTGTGAACACGATTCAACCGATTTGAATAATTCAAAAAACTATTCAATAAATATTAATAAATTAATAAATATTGAAACACTAAATATTGAAGATGATGGAAACCTACTTCAACGTACAAGTTTAATAAATTGGCTTTGTTTATTATTATTTATCTAATTACCGACTAAAAATTAACAAATTATTTTAATTGTCCATGTCTGTGCATGATTACTAAAAATATTAATCCAGAAAAAAACTGCACAACCAACCCCTAAAATAAACCAATAAATAAAAACTACTTTGTTGTCTGTCTGATGTTTTGTTAGAATGTAATTATTTAATTCTATGTTTGATCATTTATTTATCAAAATTTTTTGTAGTCTACAAAAATGTGATTGGTATACCCGTTTAAAAAACAGAATTTATGTAGGTATTTATTAAATGTTTAATGCATGTATTTATAAATTATATATATATATATATATATATATATATAAACAATTTATGTTGTGTCTTATGGGCGCGTTCATTTTTTCCTCGTAAGCTTTTTCAATTAGCACATTTTTGTTAATTCGTTTTAAATTCGAACAAAATCGCTTTAAGTGTTTTTGCTTTTGCAAAGCTTTATGTAACAAGTGGAATTTTTTAAATAATTCTTCAAAATTTATAATAATTTCTACGCTAAATATTGCCACTTACACAATAGGCCGTAATAATTTTGTAAATAAAAATGAAAATAGCTATTTTCGTAAATTGATTTTTTTTCTATTATTTTTGTACAAGTTTATAATTTATTTTGGAAACTGTGTACAATTTTTTGTTTGCACTTATTACGTTCAAAATGTTACTATAAGTGTAATTGCTATCGTCGGTGACCTGTTTTGTGTTGTCTGGATACACTAAGGAAATAATATTAAGCGTTTGGAAATAATTGATACTACGCTGAAGTTGCTTATATAAATGAAATAGGCGTGTTATTTGTTATTTTGAAATTTTGTCTATTTGAAGGTTAGGTTTCGACAGTTAGGAGTGTCAAATATTTAATCTAAAGATCGTATAAACTTCATAGCTGAATAATTTTAAAGAGAAATTTTTATAATTTATTACCTATAAAATGGTATAAAAAAGTGGTAAGAGGGTCAAAATTTTTATTAGGGTTATATGTATTTGAGAAAAAAAAGATTTGTACATGATGGGATAACTTTGTACAAGACAGGACAATTTTTTAGACAACTGAAAAGACTACTTTGTATAAAACTGGACAATTTTGTAGACAACTTTGTAGACAATTGGACGACTTTGCGGACGATTTATCAAATTTTTAGACAACTGGACAACTTTGTACAAGAAAGGACCACTTTGTAGACGACTGGAGAGCTTTGTAGGCGATTTGTCAACTTTGTACAAGAAAAGACAACTTTGTATAATACTGAACAATTTTATAGTCAAATGGACAATTTTACAGACAATTTTGTAAACAACTGAATAATTTTGTAGACGATTGGACGACTTTGTAGACAACTATGGACAACTTTGTGCACAATTTTGTAAAAAACTGAATAATTTTGTAGACGATTGGACGACTTTGTAGACAACTGGACAACTTTGTAGACAACTGGACAACTTTTTAGACATTTTTTTAAAACACTGAATAATTTTGTAGTTGATTAGACGGCTTTATAGTTGATTGGACGACTTTGTAGTTGATTGGACGACTTTGCAGAGGACTGGACAACTTTGTAGACGATTGGACAACTCTGTAGACAACCGGACAACTTTGTAGACAACTTTGTACAAGAAAGGACAACTTTGTACAAGACACGACAAATTTGTAGACTTTGTAGACGATCGGGCGACTTTGTAGACGATTCGTCAAATTTATAGACGATTCATCAAATTTGTAGACAACTAGACAACTTTGTACAATAAAAACCAACTTTGAAT